AGTTGATGCGGACACGGTGGAAGCATCCCAGCAACGACCACGACCATGCTTTCTTGTGGAACGAACACGGCACGATGATGGTGATGCTGTTGTTTGAGCGGAATATTGTTGTTGCTGTTGCGAAGAATATTCTTCTCCATCCTCCTCCTCATTGTTATCTGCGAATCTTGTTCGTTTACTTGTATATCGCCGTGATGATACGGATGATAATGACGATGGTCTGTGGTTGTTGTTGTTGTTGTTGTTCCTAGACCTCCATTCTTGAATAGCTCGATCTTCCTTTTTCATATCAATCACGTCGTCTCGTATCTGTTCGTCATATTCTTGGTGGTAGCAAAGTCCACATCCGTTGTACAATAGATTCGGAATCATTCAAGAGAGAGAGATATGTTGGAATGGCAATTAAGCTTATTGGGGCTGTCACAATAAATCACTCGGTGGGATATAGTCAACGCATCTTTTATGTTGAATGTATGTGTCTCAGCGGTGCACGATAATTATGAAAATGTGAGTATAATTTTGATTTATTACAAACACAGATTCAAACGCACGCGATTCCGGATTCCATTTCAGAAATGATTCGACGCTATTGTACATCATTGTTTTTGAAATACCTCCATACCTACATACACAATAAGCATGAGCAAAACAGTATGATAGCATTATGGAAACAAAGAAAACAGTTGATAAAGATGAGAGCACTAAGTCCCAAGTGAAAAGTGATTCTTCCAATCGAGTATCCCTCGTGAAACGATTTGACGAAATTTGTTTCTCCATCGGAGACTGCGATGCTGTTGAGCTCATTGATGCCGAAGATGGCACAACGTCGTCTGTTTGCTATTTCGAACTGCAGGAACACAGCAAATCACTCGCTGCTCAACTATTCCACCGTTATCGTCCAGATTACGTCTTGGTGGATTGCAAGGGGTGGGTAGTTCCAGAAGCTGTAGCAACTCTGGCGTGTATGAGACTTGAGGTTCCTTTTGTTCCAGTCTCGTGTTACGATCAGCACCGACCTGGCAAGTTGGAGCAAGTGGTCCACTTGTTGCAACAGCAGAAGAAAACAAAGAAACATACATCTTCTACCTTACCATCCGTGGTGGTGGCCGTCACGGTGTGTGACAATGATCGCGATCCAA